AGAGCAGTGTGCGAGAAAGTTAAATAACTAAAAGTTAGTAAATAATACGATACTGATAGCGTTGGCAACCATGCAAACAAATCGAAAAATATATAATAGTAATTATTAAACACTAGAGAATTGTAATATTCCACAAATATACAAAATTATTAGTTTATATTACTGCCATCGAAAGGTAGCCGTCATTTATCGCATGTTATTAGTGCGGCATTGCAACAATGGATTACAATAACCAACAATGACAGCTCATGCATTCGTTAACACAAAGGGCGGAATTTAAAATGAAAAAAGCATGCACTCCCAGAAGAAAAGTGTAGTCGTAAATCAAAAAAGGTGATTTTTCAGGAGGGCGCTTTAAGGACTTGAAATCATGTTCTTGAAGTAGAAACGTCGGCAATAATTGACTGAAATAGGTCTAAAAAGAAGTGACACTATTCTAGGACGCAAGAGCATAAAATTTCACATTAAATAATTCAAAACTCAATGTTTTCTATTTACGACACTTTTTTACTGGGAGTGCGAAAAATATAGTATAAATATAATAAATTATAATATTAAATTTTCAAAATATACAAATTACAATTTACGTCGCATCCAACTATGTAAATTGAGAGCGGGAGCGTAGGCAAATCGTAGAGCAGGCGACTGAAGGCTAGCAATATTTATTTCAAATTGGTTTTAAATAATTTCTAAAAGAATAATTTGTAAACATATAACAAAAGCTCCAATGTAAGAAACGAACAAAGAAATATGAAATACTCTACACGTTCTAACAAGTAAAATCCAACTGCCTGAAAACGCTTCTAAAATTACAATCACAAAGCGCAGGATTTTCAGAGCGGGCTAATAAGTTAGATGCCCAATTTTTTTTCGAAAAATTCAACATAACCTTATTTGAAGATCTAATTTTGATAAACAAATTTGATTAAGAAAAAAATTGTATCTTCATAATTGTAGTTTAGGAAGAATCCGAAAAAATTGTTTTTTGTTTTTTTTCATTTTTAGAAAAATCTTTGTTTTTAACCAGCATAAAACCTGCGCCACTCTCTTAAACGTCCTTCACACTATCCATCAACAAAATTTAATCGAAGACGATGGCGCCATTTTTTTGAAAATGTCCTAGGGGCATCATGTAAAGAACCTTCTAAAATTACAATATCGGTTTCAAATTGAAGGGGCTGCGACATCAGCCTGATCGATTGGGGAATATCAATTTTGGAGAAAATCGATTGAACAGTTTAGCCATCAGCGTTTAGACACGACGTTTTGCCGTCAATCGATTTTTCGTTATCAAGGACACATCAATTATAGGTTCTGGCTATACCATGTGCTAGAGGATTTTTTCCCCCTAAATTTAGCTACTGAACTTTTGGATAAATCTATTTCTTCGGTACTAGTATCCTGTAATAAGAATTTTTCTACCAAACATTCGCCTTCTTTTTCGCGCTGCATTACATAACGTTTTCTAAGAAATTCATTCTTAAGCTTGAGAAAGTAAAAATGCTGTGGAAACCTTGGAAAAATTAGGGAAATTTGTTTCAAGATTGTTGTACACATTTTGTAATATACAGAATGCTATATCCTGTCAATGTTAAATATTTCGGTAAATTTCTTAGAATCTATGTAAGTTAGACTTATGAAGTTTTTACAGGAAACAGATACATCTCTCATAACACTGAAATAACAATTTTGAAACATATTCAATGTTTTTGTAGATATAAATATTTTCTCAGAGTGCGATTATTCTTACCATGTTTTTCACAAGTGTTTAAAATATAAGGTTTTAAATTTCGTGACATTGCATCAAAAGAAAATATTACATGGACTGTCATTACACGAAACAAATTGGAACTACTACTGTTTATATTACTTATTAATAATCTATCACAAGTCGCAGAGCAATATAAATTCCATGCGAAATACCAAGTTGAAAAATCCCACATGTTCAAATATGAACCTTTTTTTGGGAGGCACAAAAATATTATTTTTCAGTTGTTTTATTTATCTATGGAATAGATGAGTAATGTGTGAAATACATATTTTAAATTTAAAAAAACAAACAATATTCATGTTTCTCTTCTAGTGTACGTTTTCGACACAAAATCATTTGCATGAGTTCAGAAATAATTGAATATCTGACGTAGGAAGTGGCAACTTCGCTCGTTTATTTCCTACATTTACTCAAGAAATATCAAGAAGAACAATACTCACATGATCAAGAGCACGGTTACAATGTTGATATTTAGTGGCGTGCTGCGCGAACGATTCTATTAGAGAAATGCAATAATTGAGAAGATGCAACAATATATTCATGGAAGGCAGAAGAGAGGAAGTGGCCGTTGATAAGATTGATTCTACGAACTTATGCATTATAAGTGTGATTTTTACTTTCCCGTATACGATATATATATGTATCGTATATAATGTTTCCCGTATATAATGTGTAGTATATTGAAAGTAATGTAATGCTGCGGGAAATGGATTTCGAGATTTCAACGGAAATACACGTTTTGGGGTCCCCTGATACCGAACAAATGTTTCCTTGTGGGTTTTTTTTTTTTTTTTTTTTTTTTTTTTTTTTTTTTTTTTTTTTTTTTTTTTTTTTTTTTCTCAAAACGTTCGTTTGCCTGTCCGTCTGTAAACACTACTAGTGCCTAAACCGTACATAGGATTTCTTCCAAAAAGAAGAAACCCATATCCATCTGGTTCGAGTCGAAACTTCGAAATTTTGAAAAACATTCTTCAAAAGTTGGGGATACTTTTCAAAGCCCTCCGGACATTTTCAAAATTTAACCCAAAACTCCTGCAATTTTTTCTTTAAATTTCTTGTAAGAATAAAGTAAAATACACTTATAAAGGAGGTATAGGTCCGATTTTTACGGTTAAGTCTGAAATTTTGAAAATTTCAAAACTATGAATATTTTTCGGTGTCTTCCTAGAACTACAAATTTAATGATGAAGATTTTTCCTGCAAATGCAACTTGTTCTCCACAGTGAGTTCTTTTATTAAGGTCATGTACATTTTTTTGAAAATGTTAGTAGTCTGCGCGCAATATTGCGAGAAATATGTACAATTTCAAAAAATTACAAAAACAGCTTCATTTTTTTTCTTTTAAACTTTTGGTAGGAATAATGCTAAAAGTACTCTATATTATAACATAAACGCCTTATTTCTCTATTCCGTTGTTTTTTTTAGAAAACACAAAAATGTAATTTCATTGACTTATGGTAGCTGACAAGATTATGTGACAAGTCCGAATAGCTAGCGAAGACCAAAGGAAATCTGTGCCATTCTGTAGCACCACTAGTAATAACAACTGTGCACCTCAACGCCCGTCTTTACGGTGGCATTAAGTCACTGTATTTCGAGTCTTTCTCGGCGTGCCACTAGACATCGCCTGATCGCAACTGTATCAAGTAGTACTGCACTGCCAATCTCCAAGTTCTTTCGCGAGCAGTGCGTGAATCGCGACATCTAGCGCACGACCAAGGAAGACGCGAAATGCAGTGACATTTGACACCATGAAGACAGGTGCTGACGCGCATAGTTATAACTAGTGGTGACAGAAATGGCACAGACTTTCCCGTATTAGTTTTCTATTTCCTTCCCTCAGACCTTCCCTAATCATCATGTACCCGATGTGGCTTCGCACATTTAATCCCAATGTATTCGTCTGTGAGTGTTTCGTAAAAAAGGCTAATATAATTCAATGTAATCTCAAGTATCGTACTCGGCTGCTGAGGGCCTTTAGGCCATTCAGAAATAAAAGGGGAAAAATATAGAGATTTTCATTTAACTTACTTTTAATTAATTTGAATTGCTTACATTTTTATTATATATTCATATTTTGAATTTTGGAAACTACATTTCCATCACTTGATGGAGGTGCAACCTTCAGTCTTTTGGGATACCAGCCGCCACTAGTCCCTATTGGTTTGATATATGTGTTGAAGATGTATAGTTTTGTCATATTGGCAATGTTTTTATGAATAAAAAACGACATCAATGCTTTTATAAGTCGGTGTGCTTTTTGGTCTGTTCGTAAACGTGTGTGGTCCATTGTAATTTTGGGCCAATAGTCGGTCCTAGATATTTAACTTCTTTTGTTCATGGAATGTCGATGTTGTTTATACGTAAGGGTGATTCGTTGATAGGTGTGTGTCTATTTTGCCATGTGAAGTTGAATGCCTGACATTTGGAGGGATTGGTGATAATATTATTGTCATTGACCCAGTTTGTCAGTTTTGTGCAGTACGTCGATAGAGTTCATACAATAGATGAATGATGAATGAAAGTACCACAGTATTACATTATTAAAACATTTCTTTCTAATAAAAGTACTAAAAAGGCGAGGTTAGCCAAAGTGAAAAATATAATTTTTCGTTTCCGTGTTATAGAAAACTTATTTGTATATGTACGTATTTGATTTTTAGTACTATTGCTATCAAAATTGTAACCCATACCCCAAGCTCTACTCTTAAAAGCAAAAGGAAAGCTCAACCAATCGTGCACATTATGATCCTACTTTATTATTTCGGTTACAGTTAAACAAATAATTAACTCTTATTTTTAAGTACTAAAATACACATTTGTTGAAAATACTATTTGGGCTTCTAAATTTCCGGGTGTCCCAGTCTGCTTGCATTAATGTATTACACTGCGATTAATTTGTATTGGCGCTTGATGTAAATCAGTTGGTACGATTTCATCCTACCAAGAGCTTGAACTTCACCATAATGACGTCACTGTGGTGACGATCGAGCTCCCGATTGGATGATACCGTCAACATATGATTTACGTAAAGCGCTTCTACAAAACATCGTAGTATAATCCACCTGTAATGACCTTGGATGTGCTAAATATCAAAAAGTACTCCAGAATTTTCCGGGCCATGCTTACGTCACGGGTGGCGTTGAATTTGAAATTGTCGTATGTATATTGTATAATTAATCCAATATTTTGAATGATTATGAAGAAAATACCCGAAAATACTTTGGGTAGATGGCAAAGAGCATATCCTCAACTTCACTCCATTGTTTTAGCTCATACTTAGCAGGATCATGTTATATCGAGTTTTATTATGAAGTAAACACTACCCGGAGGCACCGTACCAGAAGGCTTTTGTTTCCTTTTTTCTATTTATTTTCTGGCTCACTGCAGCCCGCCGATTCAGCAAATTTAGGCCTACTGTCTGTACCCCTGTCTTGTATGTAATGTAATTTTGTTGAGCAGATCGGAATTACATAGTACTCCTGCCAATCTTTTGATGAAAAATGAGCAAATAACTAACCACTTCTATTTATGTATATTTGTTTTGTCTCTGGTCAAAGAACGGCTCATACATGCCGTGACGTGATCGAGTTAAATTCACTTCTCATGCATGTGATGTTTGTTTACTACTTGTCGGCGTTTCCCAATTCAATCGTTCAGCTGGGGATAGTGTATTTCTAGAGCAGTCTTTGTTTCACTCGTTTCACTGTTGCTTCACGTGCTCATTTTTTAGTGTAAGGAGAGTTGGAATATTATCCAAGATTTAATTCAATAATTTCCGTGATTATTATTAATTAGCTAATACTATATTATTACTGTAGTGTTCATGCCATGACACTAATTGAAGTTATTTGAAAAATAAACTTTAATCAATAAATGAATTGTATAAAATAAAATAATTTGTTTTCCAGTGTGGATAGAACCAACATAAATCAGAAACATGAGTGAAGTGCCATTTACTAAACAAATGAGAAAAGTCACTAGAGAAATACATGCAGTTAGTGATGCTATGGTGAATGCTAAGCTTGCGTTTGGTGAGTAATTGTTTTGGAAAGATGACTTACTCTAAATTATGTGAAAGAAATTATTATGAAATCACTCCACACAAATTATTAACCTTCAAATTTTTTGGTACTTTGTGTGTCACTTGTTATTTATGGATAATCCTGGCAGATTTGCTGCTTACATTAAAATGTTGAATTATACTACACAATACATATCCAAGATTTGTCCTTTCTTAAACTTCATCCTTTGAACATGTCAAATTTCTTCTGTGAAGAAATTTATTCTCTCTGTCATCAGTGGTGTGAAGAAAAGGAAAGCTAAAAAATAATATGATTCAGGAGTAGCTTCCTCTCTCCATGCTTGGTTTTGGTTCAGTTTGCGAGGGATTATTGCTCATAAGTGTATTATGAGTTCTTAGGACTTCTAATTTTTTTCATTTCAAAATATTAAGTTCTTTTGAAAAATCTGCATTTGACAAAGCCTTGTTTGTCCTTTACTGAAATTTAAATATTTAACGAATAGATATTAAATATTGAATATGTTATGTAACAAATTTGGTGTTATTTTGCAGCACTTTCTGATAATGCTGTATGGGCAGAAGGGTTGTTGGTGTTTTATGAAATATTTCGATATTTGGAAGAGGCAATGGCAAGGCTTAAAAACACCAATGTTGGAAAACTTGATGTGGAAGGAATGAGACGAGCTGATGCATTTCAGGAAGATTTAAATTTTTATCTTGGCAGTGAATGGACAAAACAATATGAACCACGTGAAAGTGTAGTGAAGTATCTTCTTCACTTGCAAAAGTGTGAGAAATCAGATCCAAATCTCTTAATGGCATATATTTATCATCTTTACATGGGCCTTCTCTCTGGAGGTCAGATTTTAGCCAAGAAAAGGTCCTTGAATAAGAAGTTATTTCCTTTTTCATCGCAGCAACCATGTGGTAATGCTGTAACTGATTTTGGAGACATACCCATATCAAAAATTAAAAAAGAACTAGTTGAAGCTATGAATAATGTTGCTATAGAACTTGATGAAGAAACAAAACAGAAAATATTGGAAGAAAGTAAAACAGTTTTCATTTTAAATAATGAAATGATCAGATCGATAGAGGGAACTGGAAAAATTTTAATAAAGAAATTATTAATGATTATATTGTTAGGTGTTTTAATTATTGGCACTTACATTAGCCTATTTCATTTAGAAAAGTATCTTTGATGTATTTTATGTAAAATGAGTTTCTATGTGAATGATATTGAAGTATTAATGAACTAAGTTTTGTGTATGGATTTGTTGAGAGAAACAACTTCATTTTTTTGATTACTTTTTGTAATAATATTCCCATTTTTAGGAATTTGATTGTGGAGTAATTTTCCTTTAATGTTATAAGTCACATGTAATTTTCCTTGAACATGACCATTTTGTGTCATGACATTGCCATTTATTCTTTTGGCCAGGGGCTTGGTTTTATTAGTTTTTGGGGTTCCCGGTCTGTCATCCATCCTGGAACCCTTGGTGTCTCAAGCAATTGAGCTCTCTAACATTGTGGAGCTTTGTTAAGTGGTTCATTACTGATGCCAAGTTAGGAATTTTGCTCATCTTACATGAATTGATGCTCTGTTATTCAATTATATACTTTGAATTCAATTCTATACTTTGATTGTTTTAAAGTGGCTGATGGCATTACATTATTGTTACACCTCCTGCCTGATAAAATGAATCTTTGTAATTAATTCATGAATGTCTTTCTCAACAGGGCTCATTGCCTCAGAAATGTGCTTAAGACTTAAAAACTTCATTTTATAAGGAAAGAGGTGTAACAATGGTCTCTACTGTCATCACACTTTAAAAAAATTGAAGAAAAGCTGAGGAATGACTATTGAAGTACATATCTTCCAATAAATTTGTTGTTTAGAGGCCACAGTTAATAATTTAGCTGTTGTAATAGTATATTAGATTTTTTGGATAAAAATTATTTATTTATTGTGCAGAAAATGGATATCGGCCTCAATGGAGGAGAAGTGCAATCTGTGCCCTTTTATCTTGAACTCTGGAATCCCTTCCCCACCTTTAACTCTAAATTGTTGAATGATGAATACAAGTACCAACTAGTGGTGCTAAAACAGCACGAAATTTCTTGTACGTACTTTCACGCAAAATTACGCGAAAAGTACTACTCAAATTTTCGAAAAATTGTATATGACCTTATTTCAAAATCTATCCTTAAGGAATAGAATTCATTAAGGTAGAAAAAAACTATCTTTAATATTTTAGTTGTAAGAAGACTGCAAAAAAATTCCGGAACTTTTGCAATTTTCGAAAAATCAGGATTTTTAACGAACGTGAGATCCGCACATTCTCTTAAACGTCCTTCACACAATATCCAACAACAAAATTTAATCAAAAGCGATGGCCATTTTTTTTCTCCATTTCTTTGAAAATGTCCCAGGAGCTTCATGTAAAGTACCCCTCAAAATTAAAATATCTTTCTTTCAAATTCAAAAGGACGCGACATCAGTCTGATCGAGTGGGGAATATCAATTTTGGAGAAAATCGCCGTTTATGCCGTTATCGTTATGGTTTAGCCGCTAGCGTTGTTCACAGACAGACAGACGTTTTGCTGTCGTTCGATTTTTCGGTATTAAGGACCCCCAAACAATGGATTCTGGCTGCACCACTTATTAGAGGATTTTCCCCTCTAAATTTAGCAACTGGTTTTATCCACATTTTCATTACCAGGGCCTTGTAATAAGAGTTTTCTGCTGAAAAATCGCTTTTTTTTCGAAAAGCATTACGTAACTCTCTCTACTCCATAGCGAGAAGGTAAATAGCAAGGTTCATAATGTTTGAAAATAGACATTTTCGCTCCCGAATTGTGGACAATTGTTTGCATTGTGAAACGAACCACAGAATTGAATTGTTAGAATTTATAAGGAAATAGTAACCCATATTTCGAGGTTTTAATCCTACTGCAACTAGGGAGTATTTTAAGACCAGAACTTACAAAAGGGGAGCTCAACTAAACGTGCACGTAGTGAAGCTACGTTTATGTCCAGAAGCAAAACCAGGGTCATCTCAGCTACCACTCAGTGAGTCTGAAAAACTGGACAAAACCCAGATCGAGTTGGGGAGGGAGGTCATTTACGCAGAAGCTGCAGTACATTACTTGTTATGCAGCTTATATATTAAGCATTTTTAAATTAAATATATAGTAATGCAAATGTAAACTAATGAATTGTATATCATTGTTTAAATATTTACCTATTATTTTCCTTTTTGATGGTCAGTATTGTCTTTAAATGTGTAGAATCAGTGCAGCAGAAAATATTTTATTTTGAACTTAAATTTGTATATTTATTTTAATTGTTTGTTATCTGGTAGTGTGTTGTAAAATAACGTACTATATTATACATGGATTTCTTGTTGTGAGCTGTTGATACTGACACCTGATGAATGTGAATTCTATGTTGTATGTTGTAATTATAAATAGAAGTATTGCATGAAAACAAGTTCCCACTGTTAAGTAAATCAGTTTTGATAAAAAACTATTAATTTGTAAATAAGAAACAGGGTAAAAACTTATTGAAATGGGGGACACAAAACCACCACTTTGGAAAGGTTATTTTGGGCTTGTAGTCTTTTAGAACTGTTGAGTTCAAAACTTTAATAATTCATCAATATCAAAATACTATTTTATATTTTAATTCTTGATTCAGTCTCTAATTTTATCATTTATGCAAACAAAAGGACAATTATGTTTTGAAATGTGCATTGACTTAAAGGATTTAAAGTTTTCTAGTAAGTGTTGTAAAAGGTACATGTTACGCATAATGGTTTACTGTATTGGTGTCTTTATGTAAACAGTTTTATTTAAAAAAGGAAGCATATGTGTCTGAAACATCACCTAGATTCTGAAACTTCATGAAAGTGGTGTTGGTCTGAAATGTTAAAAAAGGGGCTTCCATTTACATATATTTGGATAATAGACAAGATGTACCAGTGCTTGGCTTTCCTTTAACGTGGTTAGTTGTAAGCCACAGAGTGTAATTCTCCTTGACAATGGCTGTTGTTTTTCATGTAATTACCTTTATCCCTTTCAGCCAGGGACTTTAGAATATACAGGGTGAGTTATGCACCTTTTAACAACTCCTGCAGTTTTTGAACAGTTGAAGTTATTGTAATAATTTCCTCATGTACGTCTGTGAAAACTGCATTGCAATAACTTAAACCATTCAAAAATGACAGGATATGCTTAAATTTCGTGAACATTGAACTGTGTTAGAGAAATATATTACTTTACAATTGCAGTAAGAAAGTAATTCATTTCATTCCAGAAATTTTGTAAAGTTTGACCAACAACACATGAAATATAAAGATGGCATCTGGAAAGCAGATGAGGAAATCTGCAAAATTGTTTTAGAACTAGAATATAACATGTTGTAGAATGTTTAAATTGTTTAATGTTGGTATGTCATGAATTATCTGTACAACTAAATAAAATCATTGGAAAAATGATAACAGTTAAGATTCTTTAATAATTTTTTATACAGAATCAAAATAATCATCCTTGTTAAACAAATTTCAAGCTATTTTTGACACAGCTTTCCTTTATCAGCATTCATTTTTGTGTAATGGTAATAGAGTCAGAATTAAAAACATGAGACCGTGGTGATTGGGCAGCAGATGATATTGTCCCCTCCAGTAGTGAATCCACTCAGGCTTTTTGTACTTTCCTTTCCATCTAAAATGACTATTTACTTCATTTATGAAAAATAATTACCAGATATTACACATCCATGTTTTCTTGAGCCTCTGAATACCTAATAGAAACTATTTTATATAAAAAAATGAGCCACAAATTTCATATCTTGTCGACAAAATAATCAACTCCTCCCCTCCACACACAGACACACGCACACCTTTTGCATGTAGCGAAATGAGGGCTCAAGAAAATATGCGGGAATAATGCATAGATCTCACCGTACATTACAACGAACAGGCGGTCCGCGGAGCGAGCCATTTATTCTGACCCCGCGAAAGGTTATTAGCCATAAGTCACGTGTAAACATGTCGGGCAAGAACGACCTACAGTAGTATATTGTGCACCTACAGTACGATATATGTACGTACTATACGTACCATACAGAGCAATGTACATATTATAGAGAAAGGTATGTAATGCAGAATACTGCCGAATAACGATTTCGAGGTTTCAAAGGAAATAAACGTGGGGCTCACAATACCGAAAATGTGTTGTTTTTCTTACTCTTATATATACATATGGAATTTAAGTCATGCTGTGGAAAATCGACACACACACACACACACACAATTGTGGAAAAATTCTGTTTAATTTTGATATCCTCCGATATAGTGAACTAAAAATGTTAGTGCCCAGAAGTGCACTATAACCGGAGTCGACTCTGTGTGTGTGAGTATGTGTATGTGTATATATATATATATATATATATATATATATATATATATATATATATATATATATATACACACACACACACACACAATTGATTTTATTAATATACAGATGTAGCACAATACATTAACAGCACAAACTGAAAATTTCAACATCTTAATTTGTCCTTATAAATTAATTTATTTTCAATTGTTTGTTTCGTACATTCTCATTAGACCTTTCTGTAGATCCTTCTCTACAGTTTGTGCTATCTCCATTATTGATTTTATGTTGTCCTCCGTGTCTAAGTATCGTAATGCAGTCTTGACACCCTTCAATGTCTCTTGCACTGTTAGAAATGTTCCATCTCTGAAGGCCCTTCTATTCGCCTAATAACATACGAGATGCTTTCGGTAGCGGGATGGCGCAAGCGGCTAATGAAACTGGTCGCTTTTCCGCGCGGCACGGCGGAAATCGCCAGGCGTGCTTCTTGCTGCCTGCTCTGTGCGCTTCGGAATGTCAAGTAACACAAAGAGTGTTTGTTACTGAAGAAAGCGATCGCGTGTCGCCAGCGTCAGTTGTAGCCCACGCTGCACGCGGCCTTTTGTTTCCGCAGTGAAACAGTCATCAGTATGATGCCCATTCGCCATTGCCATTGCATTCATAAGGTCATCAGAATGATGCAAATATCCGTTTCCCTATCTTCACCCCAGGGAACAATACTTCTATTATGCCCTTTGGCCAACATTTTTTCACGTTGCCTCTCGTTGGAATTTTTGGCACTAAGGCGATGTAATATTTTCCACGAGGTTGTATTTCCTACGTTCACTATAGCCGAGGTTCAGGTTACTATAACTGAGTCATCTTATGCTAATATGTAGTGTGAGACGGGACCAGTGAGTGAAGTTCACTATAACCGAGGGTTCACTACATTCCAGTTCACTATAACCGGAGTCGACTGTAATAGGTACGTCTGTTCGTCCGTCTGCGAACAATTGCGCCTAAACTGTTCGTAGTTTTATTTTTCAAAATAAATTGTCCAAAATATCCGGTCAATTTTTCCTGATTTGAAGCTCTACGATTTTGAAAACATTCTTTAAATTTTGAGAGTAATTAATTTGAAGTTCCTAGCCATTATGCTGTATTCTTTTAGTTTTGCGAAAACTCAAAAGTTTTTTGAAAATGAGCTCAAAATTCCGCATTTTCAGAAATACTCGAACAACCTCTCCTAAAAAACTGCTCCAAATTTTTCATTTGAACTTTTGTATGGATAGTGTAAATGCACTGCGAGCCCAGTAAAATTAGACCAAAAATCTGGTGAACGAAGAGAAAATATCCCGGAGTTTTGACTTAGCACAATGGCATGATTGTTTGTTACTACCAGGCGCACATTGTACTATAATCCTGAACTTTTTTCGGGGGGGAGGGAGCTGGGGGTGCGGAGGCCGTTTAAAGGTATTTCATACGTTTTTACTTTCTCGTATACGTACGTATTATACGGAGTAATATACGTAGTATATAGAAAGTTCTGTAATGTTGCACCCCCAAAAAACAACCTACTTTTCGACAGAAAAACTCGTATTGTGGGGCTTTTATACAGAAAAAGTAGATAATACAAATATGATCAGATAATCTCTTGAACCCATATCACAAGCCCGCCTCGCGGCAGGAGAGCCAACAATCTAAAAAAAGGGCCCAAAGCAGTCAACTTCGAAGTGTATATTTGACGTTATAGTACACAGAAAGTTCATTTATGGAAGTTGAAAAATTACAATTTAGGCAGAGAATCGTGTCCCAGAATCTATAATCCTCAAAAGAAAACGCTGTGCCACGTCGCTCAGACCTTCAACTCAAAAAACACTTTCTACTCCCGATCAGAGGTTTCTTTCAAGTAATTCCTAAATTTTGTCACCAGATGTTAGCTCACTGCAAGTCCAGTAATTCGGTATTTCACATTACGAACGTGTTCCTCTTTAAGAGACCTTTCTCTATACATATATTCTTGTTTATCCTTTTTTATTAGGGCCCACACATCTTTGTTTTGGAGCTCGGATTTTATTACGAGATGTATTTTCTGGGAATACTGTCGACGAGACAAGTGATGAACTCAATGAGAAAATAGCGCCTGCTGGTTAGCAACACACAGCAAATGTTGATATTTTCTCTAAATTCAGATTATTTTCAAAAACAGAAGCTACAACATCTCGTGTAGGTAGGGCAATAAGGAGTTCTACCTCGGAAAGTGCATTTGTCTTTCTCTAAACATCTGAGCACTTTTCCATCGATTTCCATTGTGTGTCCAAGCGATTTTGCGTTGTGCTGATCTTCAATGGCAGAAAAGCTAAATCACTTATTATTCTTATGTTCAATGATTCTTGTGGCTTGAATGTTTGCTGCATAGCTTCATTTAATTGTGGATATTTAAATCGTAATGTGCTTTCTTTTTAAAATCTGGGTAATTGTTGAGTAATAACAATAGAAGGAAGAAAATTTCGGTACACTGCGCATTCCCACTAGCTTCATGTATGGAAATAAATGCTGGCAACTGAATGGGACAATTCATAATTAGCTACGTGTCGTTCGCGATTGCACAGCGGAGGCTCTTCAAGCCGTTTGACAACAGTATAAATGATTCAACACAAACTAAATTGTATTTATCATTTGTATAAATAATGTCATAATTTCATTCTTTTTGTTGTATCTATTTTCCAGTAAAACGTGATAATATGGAGAAAAAAAATAACTGAAGAGAGGGCCCAAAAGTATTGTCCCCTTCTCTTGTTTTAGGCTGCGCGCTTATGGTCTTTTAGCTATGAAAGCAAATAAATCTGGCGAATAGGAGCGGGATGTGCAGTCACTTGAAACTTCAGGTCCACCGGAAGGCATTAGCTAATATTATTATATTGAGATTCAAAAACTCCGTGATAAAGAGTCACACTGAAATTTGTTAAACGATGATGTTACATAACCCTGTACAGGTTAGTGTAAAAAATGTGCTAAACCGATGTGAAAAATAGTGAGAATCCAATAACTATTACTCAGAAAGAAATGTACTGGTGACTCCATTTTATCAGCACAGCTCAAGTATGCAGGCATCAATCTAAAAAGAGCTCGATTTGCCATTTTTTATAAATTATAGAATACGATTTTTGGGTGAATTCATCAGACTAGGAACTGTCCACATATGATTACCTTCATGTGTTCATTTGGATGTTTGATAAAAAAAAGTTGGAGAGCGGGGTGGGAAAAGAGAAATGAGTAGAATTTCATGGGTGAATCCTTTTGTCAAAGAGAGATGCAGAAAAAGTCCTTGGGTTAATAGGTGAGTGAAACGAAACCGGGCTATTTAAATGCAGTATTCGGTATTAAAGAATAATTTTTCATTTCTTTCAGTGCTCGGCACCATTCAAAGAATACTTGTTGGAATTTCTTTCCCTCGCACGAAATAAATATTGTATAAATAAGGTAAAAAGAAAAGTAACTGAAAATCTGTATTCACAATCCAAATTTTATTATTTGAATGATTTGCAAAACTATACAAAACAAAAGAATAAATATAATAAATAACAATCCTAATAGTATTTTAAAAATTTGAGCAATTATAAACAAACACACAAAATAAAACCAAGACAATGAGCAGGGCTATTCTTGGAGCTTCTCTCTCCCTTGATTCTTTAAAAGAATCCACATCTCCCCCATGCACACAAGTAACTCTTTTATCATTCAGACAATATGCTTTATAGTGTACATACATAAATAATACTATGGCACCATTATAATACTTAACTCTTAAACTTTAGAATGACTAGAATGTTTTGGTTTCTTAGGCTCCTTTATACATCAACTTCCAGAATGCAATTCAACGCAGTACATACATGGAATCTAAATCATTTAAGAATTACAAGACATTTTTGTTTTGTCTGGTTTTATATTTACAATAAATTAATTTGGGGAAAATAATAAATAATAAATATGTAGAACATCGATGCCGTTTGCACGAGCGTCGAGATTCAAATGCATCGTGGAATCGGCGGAGAGGTGCTGCTTCGAAGCAGTGGTAATGGTAGAGGTGGGAATTATGGTAGCTGCCTGCAGTCACCAGCTGTTTTCACTTCTGCAACAAGAATACAAACACATCTATTAGGCTCAGAAATGTAGAAGAAGAGTCAATGGATAATGTGTTTGAGTTGATTTATATAGAAAAAGAATACTAAAGACTGTATTTATGTGTTTATTCACATCTTCGAGTAAATGATGATACTCGTTTCGAAAGTCTTGGAGAGATGTCTAGTTTTTAGTTTTAGTTTATCTTATTCAAGTGGTACATCCCAGTGCTTCATTCTTTACTTGCAATTCTGTGTTATCTCAAGTGATATTTTAGGGGCACAATTGACCTGATAATTTTTAGGCAGCAACATTTGCGTAAGAGAATATCAGAGCTTGTAAACGTTCTCTAACTCGAAAGCGCTCGCCACTCCGCGGCAAAGGTGATTCTATTGTCCCATGTTTGAAAGTTCTACGGAGGTGCTGGGCCCGCCCGTCAAGTGGACTTCGCGTGCGATGCGCGGTTGCTCACCTGGTAGCCGCCGAGACGCAGTAGTTGCGGACGCTGCAGCCGTTGCATTTCCAGGGCCGCAAGCAGCTCCGCCAGGCGACCGCCCGGTGCTTCGGCCTCCACCGCCCCCACTGCCGCCTCCTCGCCCTCGCCGTCGTCGCCCTCCATCGCGTCGCCCGCGCCACCCGCACCGCCCATCAGCTCCAAGCGGTCGTCTTCAGACCGCCGGCGGCGACCTCTGGAAACAGCAGAAAGAAACGCATGAAGGAGACCGCCAAGTGGTTCGGAAGATGACCGCTAGAATGCGCTAGTAGCGCCTCCCGTAGAAGTTATTTGAAATTTTGAGTGCGAGATTCACAGTGAAATTTACACCGAAAATGAGAATAAAAGTGAATGAAATCTACAAGTTTGATGTAAAAATGAAGCACACTAGAATATGTATAAGTGCTGTCTCCGCAAAAATTCGTAGTATATTTACAGTTTTGCTTTAATGAACAATATTACAAAGACATGCATTTATTACACAGTTATTAAAAGTGGACAGGTATAATCAAGGACAGGTGTAATCAAGGTAAAGAGTTAAGATTAAAGGAATGCACCAGCATCACATTGTCGAAATTATACTTAATAAGCACAGATAAAATATCCGAGGGAGTTTAACTTAGATGAATATGCAACCGGGGGTAGTATATGATGGGCAGAACGTCAGAATTGTTCTTTGCCCCTTCTTTCACCGCGAATTTTGCAACATTTTAACTGTTCTGCGATTGTCAAAGAGAGCACCGAGCCATTTATATTCGAGTATCTGCTCTCCCGGCAGTGGCGAATTCAGGGAGAGGGCTTGAGGGCTTTCCCTCAAATCCAACATTGTTTTGTAATTCTACTCACTTTATTCAAAACACGAACTAACACAGACACATCCATCGCCTTTAATTCCCAAGGCGTGTGTTCCTATTTAGTTTGTTTTTGATTCGATGTTACCAATTAAAAATATTATTCAAAAAATGTATTTTAAGAGTGGAAAAAGTGAAATTTTATTTTGAGAGTAGTTGGAACTTTTAGCACGCAATATATGTCCTGAGACCCGGGTTCGATTCCCGGTCGAGTCAAGATTATAGTGTGTGTTTTCCTTGTAGTGTCCTAGTATATGTTTGCTGTGTGACGAAGAGAAAATTCACTTCTCAGGTTGAGAAGACCGGAATACGGCGTGGGGATGTCTACGTGCTAACCACCGTGTAATCCCCTTAACCCATGGGCCGCGAGGCAGGGACCGTCGCCGGTAGCGCTGAGCCCGTTTACGGGCTGTCGCGCCCCAAGTACATTAATAGACATGTAGTATGGCCCGAAACGAACAATTAACTAGTGGCCGGTCCTAAAATTATATTTAGGGGCGAGAGCGGTGCCCGAATCTGAATCCCCGTCCTCACATAGATACTTTTCCGAGCCCGCCCGTGCCTGCCGGGCAGGGGGGGGGGGGGGTGGCGGTTGGCGTGGCTCACAAGGGTCGGGACGCGTAATGGGTCCCGGGTCGGGATAGGAGGGCGGGGCGGGTGCGATCGAGCTTGGGCGTATGGGACGGCGGGCGTTGACGACCTGAGGGCCTGACGGCGGTGGCGGCGCGAGGCGGAGTAACGCGCGCGTTCCTGCGAGATTGCGCGGCGCCGCGACGCCGGCCACAAAGCGCTGCCGCCGGCGCCGCCACACACACACGCGCGCGCGCGCGCACGGACTCTTCAGAAATTGCCCGGGATTGAACTCGGTAAGCGGCCGCGTAAAGCTAAAAGAGGTGTCTCTTGTGGCGCATTTATCGGTAAACTAAATTATCTTCAGCTAGGGGGTCAGAGTCCGTGGGAACTCAAAAATTAAAAAAGAAAATATTAAATTTTCAAAAAAAATTACGAAAATTTATAATTAATATAATTTTGTCTTAAGACAATTCTTATCATTTTTTAATATTAAAATGTGAGTAAAATTATTATTTCAAGGAACGTTCTGATTGTTTCATTAATTTTGAATAGACACGTTGAAACCTCAAAAATATTATTGTCGACAGTAGAAAAGCGGTCTCAAAAATATTTTAGCTTAAGTCTAGAAAATGGTCCGCCACTGGGTCTCACTAGTCTTTCCTCTTCACTTCCTACCTTTACACCTGAAGGGACTTGAGCTATGAACGTTCTAAGATTTGGATGAACAAATAACGGGTTTTTGGGAAGCCCTTTTCTGATAAATAAATCGGTAAAATTACCGATTGGTAAAAGTACATTTATTTGGAAATAATGTTTATGGAGGAAATATAGGTTGAATAACAATAAATCGAACTTTAACTAGGTTCACTTTTATTTCCGATCTTGTATTTTCTAATATTTTGTAGGAAACGGTAGTCCTCCTGCACGTGGGGTTTCACCGACAAGGGTTTCTCTGGGGAGATCCTGGTGGCCAAGTGTCACCTCGCCAGAGATGCAATGCCGTCTTCGGGCCGGCTTTCCCTCGCCTCCTCTCGCCCGCGTGACGTTACGAGCTCAGGGAGAAATCGCATTTCTTCGGAAGTTGGGCGGAATGTTACGTTGATTATTAGCGTCACGTCGTGCTGATAAACTCTCGGAAAGTTGAAGCAAAGGATGAACTTTGCCAAACGTCCTGGTTCCTTTCCTCATCCCACTCCTGAATTCATTTGCATGTGGTATCGGCGGGGCGGAGGATAACGCAAGGCTTAAAGGAGCCTAAGCCGCTACTGCTGTCCCGCAAACTTTCTTCCCCAATTTGTGTTAGAGGAAAAATGTCAAAAGACCTTTCAAGGCGGTGGCCGCATGTCTCCCCTTCCGCGCATGCGCAACGCCCTTGATTACTTCGGAAGTAAACCTCATTTGGCTCCTCCAACGACCGGTAACATGCGAACCTGCTCCTCTGCAACTGCTCGGAAGAGCAACTTCTTTCAGAGAACGCCAACATCTTTCAATAGATGACAATCAATTTATATAATCGCGATTATAAATCGAATCGAAAGAATATGGATTCATTTTGTAACTTTGAATTCGTGATTCAAAAAAGAGCGAGATGAATTGAATAAATCGCGATATCCGATTATGAAGTAGAGAGGAAAACTATCGAGAAGTATTTTCGCAGCGCTGACATTCACAATTGATTAGGCGCATTGCATTAACAAATGCGTTGCTCTGAAATAGCGGCCGCTGCAAGCCACCATTTCCCTCGATGGCGTAGTTCGTCGGCCGCCGCTCGGGAGCGTGGCAGTGCGGTCGGACGCGGGCACCCGCGGAGTGAGGCGGCGCGTGAGACGAATGGTCTGGCCGTGCGACGCCGGCGGCGGGGCCTCAATTCCGCTAATGATGGCCACCGATCGGGGCTCACTCTGGCGGATTGGGGCGCGGGCCCTGGAGAGCGCCCCTTCGCCTCCCCCCCCATCCCACATCCCACGCCCAATGTCCTCGCGGTTTGTTGCGAAACACTCCTGGTGACACTTTGCTGGGGCGGGTGCGAGCGCCACACGCGGACCTCTGGCGCGAGGGCGCGTTTAATCTAGTTGAGGGGCCCCGCAAAGCAGTGCGGTAGATCGGTATTGGTGTTAACGAGCCGAAGAAAAGCCCTGCTTAATGATTTAGATCTCCCTCTAGTCCAAATAGGTTAAGAGCATCAAAATTCTAAACCCTGTCTAGTTGAGGATAATGAAATAAAACTACACAGCTTAGGAGCAAACGAGAGCTCAGGAAGGTAATTAAATGAAGAACATTCCCTACTACTTGCAGAGAGGAAATTAAATGAAAATGATGTATGTCAGTATATATTTTCAGTCTAATGCCGCACATACGGAGAAAGTTTGCTTAGAAGGTTCACGCCGTCCAACTCTAGCGCTTCTACAAGTAGTCGGTCATCATCTACGAGAGGCACTTGGTGCCCGTAAGGGGCGCTACGGGTTCATCAAGATTCGCCAAAGATTTGAGCCCACTCCCCCCGAATTTCCCTCGCGAGTTGGACCAGCCGCCGAATAGCGCTCGTTGGGGCCGGTCGCGAAGGAAGTTGCCCGTGCACACGTTGAAGCTTCTTTGACCCGCTCACCCCACCCCCACTCCCCACCCCCTTCGTGATTAGCGTCGCGTTCATGCACTCGCGGGCCCTTCTCCTCTGGGGCGGAAGCGGCGCGCGGGGCGCCCGGCCGCTGATTGCGCGCCATTGGCGCCGACGGTGCGGCGCGGCGTGCCCCGCCGCCCAACTTGGCGCGAGTTGCCCTCAGCGGAGGCGGTGCCGGGCCGGGCCGGGCCGGGCGGGGGCGTGGGAAGGTGGCGGAGGGACGGGTGCGGGGCAGAAGCCATTAGCGCCGGTGGGCGGGTGTACTTACAGCTTGTCGGGGTCCACCTTGCCGAAGCCGACGGGCACCGTCACAACGATTCCCTTGAGGCGGTTGAGGGCCACGCGCGTCTCCAGCTCTGCCAGCCGCTGGTCCGACACTCGCTTCTGCCTGCAACACACAAGACACGCGACACATCAGTATTAGCGTCGTCGGGCCCTTCCTTTCCGACAGCAAACACTTGATCTAGACTTAATCTGAGGCCTTCTTCTCAGTGAGTTCTCCGTATGTTTTTATGAATTAAAAAATAGGGTCAGGCACTCGTGAACTCTATGTGAATGTATAAGCCGCACAAATCGCCATACGGTGGGATTCGAATACGTAACTATTTGGTCTTAGATACTGGTGTCTTAGTGACTTGGGCTTCTGGACTAGCTACATCTTTCATGCAATCTTTGATTGAATTCTTTGAGAAAGTATTTTTCCAAAGAGCAAACGTAGATATTTCTTTATAATCACGCGTTAATGTTTCATTATAGGACGCTCGATAAGCCATGTTACTTCACTCTCCAATTAGTAGCGGTTGAGATACCGTCCCCGAACAGAAAACGTACACACAGCGCGAGTGAAAAGTGGAACACGTCTCCATAGAGTGGTGGTCTCGTAACTGCAGATGGTGCCTAGTGCGATCACCTGTCGAATGAAAACATTGTTATCGGCGTCTGTGTTGTTCGGAGTCGCGTCCTCATTTCATCCCGAGCCGATAGGGGGCGGGAGACCCTCCGCCGCCGTCCTCGCCCTCAGCTTCCGCCCTCTGTCCCCATCCCGTCCCCACCCTCCCCAGCCGTGGCCTCCAAACGCCACCGGAACATGATAACAAGTGTCGAGGCTGCTTCCTTCGTTACTGCGCTCTCGTTCCCGCCCCCTTTACCTTCTCGATTCTACCCTTATTATTATATTCTCCGCGATCGTTCTTAGCAGTATAGCTTTTTCGAACCTCTTCTTCTCCGTTTCCCTCCACGGTAATTAAAACCGTTGATATTCGTGGCTCTTATTCGACGAATTTGGTAACCAACTTTTTTCTGCATCTTCGCCCACGTTCTCCATGCCCTCCCATTCCCCATCTTTTACCCCTCGAGTTCGTTTCGGGGCCTGTCGAAAGAAAACAAAAAGTCTCTCTGGTGACGTCTCTACGATGCGGCATGTACGTCAACGCCGGTGACCCGCCTGTTATTTCAGAAGACCTACATTACTTCGTTGAGAGAATTCTAGCTTCTTCAATGCAAATATATTCCTCTTCGCGGACGGATTTAAATGCGCGCTCTGTTCAAATATGGAGCAGAGACGTCTTTCCGTCTCGTCGAGATAACCTCTTCCTTTGTACTCGCCCCCGCCCGCGCCGAAATGAAAGAGGGGGGTTATTTTAAAACCGATCGTCTTTCGGAAGATGAGACCGATGCGACAGAGTGACGCGACTGGGCGAAGTGTGTTTGCGCGTGATGGTGGAGATAGAGAGAGAGAGAGAGGAAGGGGGTGGCGAAAGTCACCCATCGAAGCGACGGTAAATCGGTTAGGTTCCCTCGTCGTCCCAATTTAATAACCTATCCACTCCGACCACTCTTCTCAATTAACCGGCGCGTTTCCTTAGCGCCTTTCCCCTCACTAGGTCGCAAATTAGCGGCAACTTCGCCTTCGTCGTTGTCGGTCGGCTGCTGTACCGGCGGCGGCGGCGGTGGCGGCGGCGGGATTTTTCCGAAGGTTCCTGATTACGTCATGAAAAGGGGCTCATCACAGGTCCCACGCGCCGCCGGGCTGCTCAAAAGAGCGACGCGTCGCGATGCGAGTTTGTTTCAAAGGGCCGCGTGCACGCGGTCACGGTAATCAAACAGCGGGCCGCGCCCGCCCGTGCGCGCCCGATATTAATTCCGACGCGAAGTTGGCGGCACCGCCGCCTGCGCGGGGGACACGCCCTCGGCGTGGGGGGACTTCGCTCGCGCAGACGAGCAGCTGGGGAAGATCCCCGAGGGAAGGTTCTACCCCACCGGAAAGGAAGGACGATTGTGATTCTGCGGAGAATGTATAATGTAGTCTGGAGGAAATGCCGTTTTCTTGAATGCCCTTCCACTATAAAGAAGATTTTATTTCTTTAATACTATAATTTTATTAAGAATTGCGCACGCAATGCTTTTTCAACTTGAGCTCCCAAATTTCAAATTGATCATCCTGCCCCTCAACAAGACCGTACACTTTCAATATTAGTTTCGTTTTTTTAATCTGTGTTCCAGCCTTTTAACTTGAGCCCTGCAAGTTCGACCTGAGCACCCTAAATTTTCTCTGTCCGACCAGGAAGCCACAACCCTTGGTGTCGTAGGAGTCGATTTCTTCCTGCGCGCCCCTGCCCGCTGAGGTGCTCTCCCCGAGGGCGGGATTTCGCGACCAAGGGAACCGCGTGGCCCCCAGAGGGTGAAAGCCGGAGATGCCCGCGAACGGATCCGAGTGAGGTGCGTGCCGCGCCAGACCAACCGGGGAATCACGAAGACGACTCTCTTCGAGCACACACGCGAAATGCTTTCCACGGCATCGCACCGGGAGACGTCGAAACTATTTTACATTACATCCGACCGAACATGGTCCACAGAACGGATTTAATTATATAAAATTGATTCCTGAGAATTTATTAGCGTATTGTTTGAAACATCTTTGTTCCGGCTTTCTTTGACTTCCCAATCACCGTCGGAAATTCGTGTCAGTAAGAAATAAGCATAGCAGTTTCTGTATTTGAACTTCATCAGCCAACCTGGCGAGTGGTAGCGATATATTATTGTTGCGTCGTTGACATTTCGCGTAAGTTGCTATCTGGCAGGTTGCCGTCTCTTGGCCCACAAACCATTCGAGTCAATATCAATTTTAGCGGTGCAGTCGGGTGGTAAACATATTAAGCACTTAATCCGCAGTAATTAAAATGCGGGCGGGAAGCTTATTCCGCGGGCGCGAGTCGGCGCGCGGTTCCGAGCCCAAGCCCTTAAGGAACACCTGCTGCTGCGGATCTGAAGTTCTACGAGATATTGGTTACTTGCGACTCGTGTGCCATAGTCGGCGTTTTGCAGAAAATTATTAGTACGATTGGATTGGATTAAGCTCGGAAGATCTCGTTTGCTCATTTCATGCCTTTGGAAATTGATATTCATACAGTTCTACAGATGAATTTTACGCATTTTGCTTGTAGATTAATAGAGTCGACGCAAGCTCTAAAGATGCTTTTTGCTAGGTGTGGGTTAGATAGGTTAGTTAGGTTTTTACTCGTATGGCGTCCAAAAACGTGTACTCGGTTTAAATGAATGAACTTACGTAGTCTTTTGTGTGTCAACACACGTCAGCGACGCCAAGACGGATGAATGTTGGGGGCAGCGAGCGTGTGAGATGGCGAGAGGGCGAAAAGGCAGCCGGGCGAGCGCACGTGAGGGCAGATGGACGAGCTGGCGAGGTGAGATTGCTACGGGGGAATGGTCGAACGGGCGGCCGGGTGAATGGGTGAGATGGTGGGAAGCGATTGAGAAGCAAGGTGCGGTTGGGGGCGGGGATCGGGTGAGAGGGCAGGTAGAGGATGAGAGGGAGGGGATCGGGTGAGAGAGGGCGCGGATCGGATGAGAGGGTGGTTGGACGAAGAGGGGCGTGAGCGGGCGAGGAGAGCGTGAGCGAGGCGAGGAGAGCGTGAGCGGGCGAGGAGAGCGTGAGCGGGGCGAGGAGAGCGTGAGCGGGCGAGGAGAGCGTGAGCGGGGCGAGGAGAGCGTGAGCGGGGCGAGGAGAGCGTGAGCGGGGCGAGGAGAGCGTGAGCGGGCGAGGAGAGCGTGAGCGGGCGAGGAGAGGGCGGGAAGCGGATGATTGGGCGATGATCGGGTGAAAGGGTGCGAAGCCGGCGGGCAGCCAGCAATCAGGCGGGCAAACGCAGCCCATATCGCGGCGCGGCTGAATGCCGGCGCGGTCGGGTGGGCGGGCGGCGGTGATAGCGCCAGGTGCCGCGGGGCTCTTCCGCGCGCTCAATGGCGCCCGCTAATCGCCGCCGCTGGATGCGCTTTCCTCCCCCGCCCACCCACGCCCTCTGACGTCAGTGACGCGCGCCCGGAAGTACTCGCTTGAACCCGCCGAACCGCCATTTGGATCACGAACTGATATTCCAGGGTGCAGTTTGAATTCGTATACACTAACGCCTCGCTTCTTCACGTCTATTGATTACAATTTCTATTTCATTCTTTCGTTTATTGATAAAATATTGAAGATATATTTGTATTCATATATATTTATGACCTACCAATGTGGAAATAGTATTGCTAAATCTACGTTATAGTTCTGTCTTGTAAATCTCTCGTAATTTATTGTACTATTCCGCAATTAATAATTCCGAAATTGTGTTTATTTTTCTGGAAAATGTACTGAAGCAACGTCAGAAATGAAACAATAAGAAATCGAAATAGTTTGCTTATTTTGTAATATTATAATGTGGAAATGTGACATGCGTCCACCGTTCTGCAGAAACTCGTGAAATAAAATTTATGAAGCAGACCTCCCATTAATGAGCTAATTTCAAAATGCAAGTGTCAAATTAACACAATTTGAGTTCATTTATCTTCGTTCTTTCGTAAAAGATCCACCAATTTGCTGTTACGGATGACTTACTGAACACGAAACAATGATAATGAGCTTCTACGCAGTCTCATTTATCTGACTATTATTAGAAACTCGGCTGATGTGTGCTTCTTCTGTTCTTTTTCATAACCGAGTGCTGTATGTTGAGAAATTTGAGCTAACGTAACCTTTGACGCTGTACCAGGGAACATTGCATCACGCTCGTAATTCGTTCCAAGACTCGAAGGAGAGACGCAAGCCACTGCTCTGGAAGCGCAGCCGCCCGAATCTCGGATGGCGGGCGGCTCGTCACCGCCAAAGAGGCGGGGGAGAGGAAGAAGGAGGTGAAAGAGGAGGAGTAGGTAAGGTCTGGGCGAATCGAAGGTATGAAGGAGACGGAGAAGAGGCCGTAGGTGGAGATACGGACGTGGGCGGAGTCGGGGCGTAGGCGGAGAGGGGGAGGTAGGTAGAGACCGGGGCGTAGGCGGAGAAGATGCGAAGACGTTGGAGACGAAGACGGAGACGCAGGCGGTGGAGAAAGGCGAACACGGAGGAAGGGCCAGAGGCAGAGGCTGACGTCGGGGAGCAGCACACGGCCTATCCTCTGAGAGCTTCGCGGGGGGGGCTAGGCTCCTGAGCATCCGCCACCGCGCGGAGGCGACCGCGACGGCGCAGCCCCGCGCCCGCCCTAGAGGCTGCAAAACGGCGATCCCCGACTCGCGAGTTGTGCAGTTACACTTCACTGCGATCAATACCCCGCCGTAGGTTCCCTCGTTAGATCGACATGTCCCAACAGTCACGTCAGATCAACGTTTCTGTCAAGCCGGCATTCACATCAAATAGTATGGCCCTCGAGAAATTATCCCAATTTTATGCATTTTCTGAGACGTTTCTTGATCGGGTAGCATTGACAAAGTAATTAAAAAACTATTAGTTGCTATTCCTGAATAGAATTGAGTTACTGAATACGACTGCGAATGATGATTAGTAAAAATTGATTTGATGTTACTAGATTGATTAGTTGCAAGATTTAATTCACAAAATGGACGGTATGTAATGTTTTATTTCTCAATAAGACACTTCAATATGAGAAACGTAACATTGACATTTTAATTAAAAGGACGGTTTAAAGATGCTTTTTTACAGTTCAATATTGTAACTGTCTCATAAATTACTGGGTTCTCATAAAGTATTAAATTTACTTTTTTGTGCCATTGCAAAAGGTTGGTATCTAATCAGCATAACACTAATCAAAATATTTCTTCATGAATTAATCCAATGGGAATCTAAGGAGGAATTTAGTCAAAAAGTAAAATGTCTGTTCGTCAATGTGAAACAGTTCCTTTTCTCATGCACTACCCGGCCTGGTATGTCAAAATGACGTGTAATGGAACACATGTATCGATTTTCAGCGTGTAGAATTTCTCTTTTTTTTATTCAGAACTAAGGCAACTATTCGCATTTCAGAAAAAAATAATGTATTTCTTCTGTTGAATACCTCATTCACACACGAAATTCATTGACGATCATTTAAAACAGCAAAAATATTTCGATAAGTGCATCTGCGTTTACAGAAATTTAAAATGAGTAAACTTCGACCCCCATCGTTTCGTGCACGAAAGAACTTATCGGGAAACATTTTTTCGGACATTACTGCAAAGAAAACTACTGATAAAAATATTCAACAATCAGCGTGAACATTTCCCCCTTGTCGCTTGCGAGAAAGAATTTCTGTAAACAATTGTGTCGCGTACTACGTACATTAATGGAAGGGAATCGGTAAAAATGTCGAACAATTCACGAGATGACGAAATTTTCCCTCTGGTCCTGACCAAAGATAGAACATTCATGAAATAGTTTATGGAAGGGAATGGGACCGCCCAAAAAGTCAGACAGCGCACGCGAACACGAACATTTCTTGAGTCCACTGAAGAGATGCCTGGTAATCCACAAGAGCTCGCGTCGAGCGAGGAGGCGGGCGCGGCGCACGTGGTCGCGCTCTGACAGGTGGCCGCGGCCGGAGGGGCGCCCTACCTGTGAGGAGCCGCGGAGGCGGGCGCCAGCAGGAACAGGGCGAGGACGACGACGGCGGCCGTCCACAGGGCCAGGCCCAGGCCGCCCCCGCGCCGCGCCGCCGTCCTGCTGCCGTTGCTGCCGCCG